ACAAAGTGCAGGCAGGAGGGTGCTGTGAGTGGGTGCCTGCCATGGAGTACCAGATCCCCAGGATCTGGTACTCCATAGTGGGGCTCTTCAGAAGAAAAAGCAATGGGAGCAACTTTGCTTGTGGGAAGCTGGCAGGGAAGGTTGTAAATGGTGATCACATGACTGCGGGACACTGCAACCATCGTAAGTGCGAGCTGGTTTCCAAGCAGCTGAATCAATCATGTGACCATGGGGATGGTACAACAGCTGTAACTCATAAGTATCCCTCATTCAGCACTATCATAACTTCACAGAAAAAGCTAATTCAAACAGTTAAGAAAGGCCGTTGTAACAAAAGTTATAAATCTTTTCTCAGGAAAAAAGATGTACAACTCTGACTTACACTGCTCCATTTAGTCCAGATGTGAATACTAAATCTCTGATTGCTATGCTTAAAGAAAGAATAAGTGGCCAATGACTACAGTGGGTGGTAGTAGTGATTAATGTTATCACCAAAGAGAATTGGATTTTAATCCATTTTTTCACTGTTGGAGGGAGTACTGGGATTTTAAAAAATATTTCTAGATGTGTTGTGATTGTCTGAGGTTTAACATAGCAATTTTTCTTTTTTCTTTTTAATCTGTTTCCTGCCAGAAATTGGCAAAAAGATTGGGTTACAGTCATTCAGTAATTTCCCAGTAAATTTCAGCAGCACAATGTCAGGTTTCTTTGGAAGGTGCAAAGAAAATAGGGGCTGGGGACCGCAGATTGTTGTTCTCTGATCTAGCTTGCAACTCAGACCACATTAGCTCTCTGGAATCTTAGGTAGGTTTGTTTCAACCTAAGATCCCTGATAAAGAGTTTTCCTGCTTATGAAATGTATTCTGTTACTTAGCAACAGCTCCTCTTTCTCCTCATAATTTTTAGTATCTAAAACTAATACTAAAGTTTTCTATTAAATTCAGGGTACATTATAGTTATTTAAATAGTACTAAAAGAATCATGTACAGTGGGGCAAAACAGTATTTAGTCAGCCACCAATTGTGCAAGTTCTCCCACTTAAAAAGATGAGAGAGGCCTGTAATTTTCATCATAGGTATACCTCAACTATGAGAGACGAAATGGGGGAAAAAATCCAGAAAATCAC